AGTAAGCAGCAAGAAACAGAACTGTAACAGTGGAAACCGGAAGCTGCAACTGGTACAGGAAACTGCGAACCTTCGCCCCACAGTCTGGTGGCCCCACAAGGGGGCCGGCGGATTTTTTTAAACAAATTATACCAGAGAGTAACCCCAACCATAATCATTTTAGGGCTATGGGGATACGGGGCTATAGGGCTACAGGGCCATAGGGCTATATGGCTAATATGGCTATGAGGCTGTAGGGCTATAGGGCTTTCGGGCTATAGTGCTTTAGGACTATAGGGCTATAGGGCTATAGGGCTCTAGGGCTACAGGGCTATCCTGCTATAAGGCTATCGGGCTATAGGGCTATCGGGCTGTAGGGCTATAGGGCTATTAAGGCAATAGGTCTATAGGGCTACAGGACCATAGGGCCATAGGGCTACAGGGTTATAGGGCTATAAGGCTACAGGGCTATGGGGATACCGGGCACCCGGGCACCCGCGGAAATCGGCGGCGCGCCTCACCCAACCTTGTAATCTTCTAGGACCCCTACTGAGGCAAGCTCTGATTGGGGAAACAAGTCAAATCGGGCGCTCCCCGTTCGTCCACATGACGCACATCGCGCAAATGCACGGGGCTCTTCGAAACGATTCGCACCTTCGTCGAACCCCCCCGCCGATCCGCCCCCAATGTCCCCGACACGGCCGCGGGCGCGCCTTCCCCGTCTCCGCGCAGCCGCTCGAACAGACGCGCCACTTCTGCCCCAGGCATCACGGCTGTTTTCGCTGTCTTGATGCCTTCGGCCGCGGCCGCGTCGCCGGGGCCCCTGCACGCGCAAGTTCGCACTCTCATGGTGGGCCGACCGCACCGCGCCTCTTCCGCGCATGTCGCTGAGGAACCTCTTCATGTGTCTCTGTGCTCGATGCGCCGCGGTCTTCTCCTTCGTCTGTTCCGTCAGCGCGCGGTGCCCTTTCCTGATCGCCCCGGCCTCTTTGAACGACGGGGCGCGCCGCTTTGCACTGGTAATCCGCCGCGTACCCCGCCGATGCATTCTGCGCTCGCTGCGCTGCCAACACCGCGTCCACGGGCTGATCCGTCCCCCACCAACGCTCCTCGCACACGCAGATGTCGCGCGTGGCCTCCGTGACTGAGTCCTGCGCGGAAGCTGCAGGTCGCTGTTTGAGTTCAGCCCCACGGCACCGCTCAACATGGCAGGCAGGGCGACGTTCACGTTTCCCCGTTCATGAGCCCGCGTGGACAACCCGCCGCTTTCCTCCGACCTGCCCAGGGCGTGTCGCGAGCTTACAGAAGACCTCGACAGAACACTACCGCCCGGTCTTTCAGCCACGACGTGCGCAGAAAGCAACTGCTGCATTGCGTCATGCCGTCCTTCTTCTGGCAGCGTGCCGACGGCGCCATCCGCTGCAGCGCTCGCCCCACTGCCACACGTAATTACGTCGTAACTCCTGCTTCCTGTGAACCCAGACGCCCAGATACTCCTGGAGCCACGTTCGGCCTTCACGCCCACCTTCGTTTCGCTCCCTGACCCGCCCGAAGGCTGCGTGGGCCTGCTCCCGCCATGTGTTCGGTGTGTTCGCCTCCATCGGCCTGCCCTACGGCACTGGTCGCACCGCGGCGCAGGTACTCTGCCGCCGACACCAGATCCGTTGATTCGCGGTATGCGGGCCAGGCTTTCTCCATTTCCTTTCCCCTGCCCCTCCACCCTTCCAAGTCGGCGTGCTCCTGGCGGCATGCGTTCATCTTACCTCTTGTACTCCTCCATCAGTCGCCCCAGACATCGTTTTTCGGGAGCTGAACAAGTTCGCGCAGCCGCGTGTGCTGATGCAGACACCGAATGCACACTTGCACGTGCAAGCGCAGGCTCCCCGACGACCTCTGTACTTCAACGTTGCCAAATACACTGTCCACGTGACCCAGACAACCGCCCACCGCCGTCGCGTTGTTTCCGAGCAAGTTCGCGCACTCGCAATACGGGCATTTCGGACAATACCGCATGCTCAAATTGCACTCGAGCACGCGGCCCACGATAACACACGAAACCCTTCGACGCCCGCCAGCGGGTCCCGCGCCAGCACTGCTCTCCGCTCGTCCGTAGCGGGATCAGTTTCTGCAAACATGTCCACTGGTATTGCCGTGCCCATGCATACATCGCCTTCCGCCGCGTCTGTGTCCGATTCTGCCTAGGAGCGTTCCACCCAACAACAATGAGCCCCATAGAGGACCCCTCCAGCGGAGTATCCACAGCCCCCTGAGGGAAAACTGCCAATTCTGCAGGCTTCGCGTATCCCCACTGGCCCATTCAGAAGCCCTGCCCATGAGAGCTGACGGGAGAAGGGACGAAGAGACACATCTAGGGAAACAAAGCGAGCAATCAGGGTGAACCGAGAGATCTCTGGGAGCAAGGGGGTTGCCTTAAAAGGCCTCTTAGGGCCATCCCTGGGGGCCGCGTGGGGGCGAGGGGAAGAGGAGGAGGAGGGGCAGGAGGAGGATGAGGACGAGGGAT